CTCGGACACAACCACCTCTCCTCTTCGTCACCGTTATCAGCTAATTGAAGCGACCCCCTCGTTGAACTTAGTGCAAAGGAAGGTGTCTTGGTTACCATATGAGCGACATAGGCTTGCGATTCAAGGACAAAAATGTGGCGCTTCTTCGAAATAGGAATTGTCATATAGCTGTAGATGTCTCCGTGTTCTCCAGTGGCGGTGTCCAATTGGTGCTGAAATATACCACATCTATGGAATAGGCTAGCTAAAACAGCAGAACGACAACATTAGAAGCACTTCGATAAAGAAAATTATAAGAGGATGATTTAGAAGCGAATTTAACCAGAAAAAAGCTTTGCTAGATGTGTGTTGGGGAGTTATTTTGAGGGTGAAATTCTAGAACTTCCATGAAAACCGCTACAGCGCCTACTCGGTTGTGCCACCTATTAGAATTTTTCAATATGATTTTATAAGATGGCACAACAGCCACCCATTTGGCAGGTTCAAAAATCCAGTTTGGTTCATAATGGCTGGCCGGCTGTTTACTGTGGAGATTTACTGCGACATTTTCGTCAGAAACCGGGAGCTTTTCTGCCATATTGGCATTGCTATCTATACATTGTTCTCATTAATATGCAAATGGGCGGAAGTGGTGTAGTGGCAAGTGGCACGCTTACCACGCGAGCGGTCCGGGGATCAAATCCTGGGTCGTGAGTCGCCCGGGCCAACCAAGCCTTCCATCCCTCCGGGGTCGGTTAATTGGTACCAGACTTGTCTGGGAGGATAAAAACACTGACTTGTACATCGGCTGGCCCCCGCAAGTCATTGTATAGGCCACATCGCATTCAAACGCCACTACGAATGGAAGTAGAATGCGTGCCGCATCCCAAAAAGGGATTGATCAACGGCAAATGCTTTATCCTTAATATGCAGGTAGTGGTGAATCCTCGAGCAATTTCTCATTCACATTCAATTTCAAGGGCCATCAAGGCTGACAAATTTATCATTCCTATAAACAGCATTCGCCTCGGCATATGTTGATATATTCAATTTATCTTTTGTTCAGTTTGATTTTTGTGTTGTAGTAATCGAGTTTCCATTTGTGCAATATTTTCTCTGATTGTCTCGGGCGCACCACGAGTGCAATACTATATAAATAAATATAAATACAAATATAAACATAAATATAAATACAAACACATAATCTCACCGAATCCGCATGATTAGTGTGAATAAGAGAATGAAGGATTTTGCAAATTGTACAGAGAACTTGAGTATGTTCGCGCTTGGACGATACGAGTCGCTCGGCTACCTCCTCCAGGATGTTCACGAGTTTTTCGCAAAAATTCTCTCCAGATGCAGGTCGAATGTCTTAAAATGAAAAAATATGTAACCACGATCATTATTGTATTTTGCGTTCAAAAGTATTGAAATGTATATTCCAATATAAGATAGCGCACATTTAAGTAGACCTTAAATTTTACTTTAGTTTTGTTATTTTATTTTATTTCATTTTACGTTTATTTTAGCCTCGGCCCCGGTATCTCCCTTCTGTTATGCATTCCGCAGCTGTGAAAAAAGGTCAACATCTCGCGAAATGGATGCGTGTGCACAAAAAAGGTATCCTTCATGATAGAGCGTCTTATCGCAATCATGAAATCACGCTAGAATGATACCGCGCTACGGATTTGGGCCTTAGGTTACTTGGCGGTTGGTTTCCCTACCCCCAATACTCTTCTTTTGTCCCCTCAATGTCCCCAAGCCATTGTCGCACAATATAGGACAACCGAGGGCGTGATCAGCGGATGTTTATATTGCAGTTAAAGGCACGCTCCGCGATCAGGCGGGCTCGCCTGTTCCATCCAGGGGTAGTAGGCAGGTGGACAAGTGTTGATGTCGGGCCCCTTTTGCGGCTTGAAAGTACGCGACAAAGGCGCAAGGAGCTCGTCCAACCCGCAACTCACACCTTCGTCCGCAAGCCCCACCCTCCGCTGTCGGTTGCCACGTGGCGCTGCTTGAAAAGCGCGGGCGCATTTGAGGCAGCGGTCCCATCGCGATCCAATGTTATTGGCACTGGAGCAAGTAGAGTTAGGTTCGTGAAACTCGTCCAATTCGCCTCTTCTCTATCCCAAGGTGGAATGTGGCTGAAATAGGGGAGGTCTCTGTACGGGGCGTAATCGGTGGTTTCGTTTGCTTTCCTTCTCTTTTACAGACCACCTCCCACCTATAGCTTCATAACTGAACGCTTTTCCACACCTATTTTATCCCGAATCTTGCCTTTAAGGGGGAAACAAGTGAATGCTACCAAAAGACGTTGATGCTGCATTACCGTTACCGCTCAGCTTGCGATTTTTTCAGCGGTATTGTGACTTATTCCATGAACTCCTTGATTTCTTCTCTTGCGTAACGACAGGCAGACACACCGACATACATAAAAAGAATCTAAGGCAAGTCCAATGAAAAAACAGGGTGCCTCCACATGTCCTTTGAAACCTCCACCCCCCCCCCATGCAATTCTAGCACCCCAACCCAATTACGCAGCGTGGCCTCAGACAATGGAATCAAGAGTACCCTGAATATAATTTTCAGTATAAGCCAACTACTTTATGTGATATTTTCATGACTTCAACTCTTGGACTTTAATTCACTATTTGATATATTTCGCCTTTGGAGTGTTCCAGCCTTTGAATCTTTTCATACTCGTGACCACCCTGTCAGCCTAATCTATAATTAGGCATGACATGCACAATTCTAGCACACCGACTATTCATCGCAGCCTTCCAACTCTTTTTAAGGCGCAAACTCAGGCATTAAGTACGCTTTCAAAAACCCCGATGACTTTCGACAAGAATGCGTCGTGCATCTCAAGATGAGGTTGATTGATCTGTATCTTTTACCTTTGGACGTGTTAAGAGTGTTAGAAAAGCGTACCCCAGTGAAGAACGAAGGATTTATGGAATCCGGTTTGAACCATGGTAGCACACTATGAGCAGAACGGAAAGGTGGCGACGACGGTAGCGCAAAACATGTTACGCCTCCACTGAATCCGAAATTTAGAATGGTGAACGCCTTCTTTAGCGACTCCCTGAAATATAATATCAAGTGTAGCTGCAATTAGCGCTTTTCTCGGACCTTTACATGCTTATTGTGAGCTCTGTCCACCTCTTTTAGAGGCTCATTTATCTAACATGAGAAGGAGCGATGACGAATTCAAGCCTTAAACATTTTGGATGGCCGCCATGGCAGCGCTCCGAAGTCACACGTGCTCCCAATTTCAGAATAGTGAGGGTGCTTCAGGAGCGTCTGCGGAACATGTTCAGTGCTTTGCGGGAAATGTTTGATCACATACAGTAACCCAAGATAGGGATGCTTCAAGACGACTTGATGATTTGCCGATTCATGGTACCAAACTTCCCCTTTTTAACCAGCAATTGCTGGTCATGTTGTTATTGTAACCTGTTGCTGCTGAGCTGTTGAAGGTTGCATCTTTTGTCGCTCTAAGCTTGCTTTTCTCGCTTGCTCGTGTAGGAAGTGCAGCTCAGGGATGGGCCATCCGTTTCGTCCTAGTTTATGCAGGTTGTTTACGCAGAACGACCTTTGTTAATTTTAGTTTGAAACAAGTGCGTTTTGATATGTTTTGGAATTGTTTAATACGTCACGGAAAAACTAACAAACCTGTCCATGTTCTTATCCTTCAGGGACTCGACTACAGGAAATAGAAACTTTTTCAGCAATGCTTCCACCAGTTCTTTACCCTTCTCACCGGGAACATACCAGGCCATTTTTGCTTCAGCTATGTCATACATTTTCCCCCACTCCTGAAAAAGAATACTCTCGTCCAAAATTGTACTGAGGGGTGAAGGAGATCGGGATTTCTCTCTGGTAATGATTCGGGTTGCAGATCATTTCGTGAAGAAAGTGGAAGGAAAATTAACGATCAGAAAGACCGATGAAAGCAATGTAGCCGGTTCAGGTGCGATAGGTTCACAGATTCACCAATCTACCTCGAGCGCTTTCATAAATAAAGTTCCGAATGGCTTGAGGTACTAAAACCCGACAAGCAGCCGATTTCTAAATGATCACACCCTGAAACACCCTGAACTCATGGTCAGTGACAATATAAAGGGAGGAAGGGCCGGAAAAAAGTCGCGTTGCCCATGCCTGGAATTCGCGAACTTTCCGTCGCAAAGCAGCCATTGATGAGGTTTCACGACAAAATATTCCTTGGGTGTCCCTCTATGGAACAGGAACAGGCCCTCCTTCACAGTCCTCATCGTCCTCAGAATATGACGTCATCATTTACCATCGCCGTCCAACTGAAGGAAAAGGGAGGTCTACAGTATTCGCCATATTCTGAAGCTGCTGCATATTTTATTCCAGCGGTTTACCGATGTACAGCTTCACAGCTTTCTAAAACTGAAGCTGTGCCTATGCAAGATTTTAATAAAACCGCCCCGTCCTGGTAGTCACGACACGGCCCTCGTCCACCACTACCAGTGGACCAACGACTCCCCTCTCCTTCCACCTCCTCCACCATCACTAACATGGCTGTCTCTATAACAATTGATTCTGAGACTGATCGATACACACCCCACGAAAACTTCTTCGGAAGCTTCCGCTAACTGGAGAACTCCATTCCGAGTAACTTTTGTGGAAAACCATTGAAAACGATTTCTTTCGTTCCCCTCCATTACGACACAACCCTTCAACCTCCGTCGCAACGACGTCTTCTTCCGTCTCGAATACACCTCTTTTCACCACTTCACAGTGCACAAAGACCTAAAATACATCCCCCGCGCCCATCACCTAGAAATTTCATCTACACCCCTTGTGCGGTCAACAAGAGTTAGCACTTCCCACATTACCAAGAAGGTCCCAACTGCAGGATCTGGAACTCACTGGGTTCAGCAAGCGGTTCCTTAACGAGACAAGTAAATGTGCGGTAGATTCTGGAAATTAAGATCTGCAAAAGTCGTGATGGATTCTCTAAAGGGTGCTCTCAAAAGGGCCAGCGTGACCGCGGCCATACCTAAAGATGACGCAAGAAGATACCATCATGCACAACTCTGTCGCGATGAGCAGGTATTTGGCTCGACACATTCATTGCTCAGTAAATGGCGTTGCACATGTGGCACGCGGAATGCAGACAGTGAATCTAGACATAACAGCCTTACTCGAGTAGGAACCCAGTCTTTTAGTGGTCTTTCGAGTCGATCAGCAATATAACGAAGTGTTTTCAGGTATGAGTACGTGAAGCAGTACAAGCAATGTACCACAGTCCCCAATAGAACCGCTCTGTAAAAGCCAGGTCATATTCAGGCTGAGGCACGAGATAATATGAAAATTATCGGGAACGCTTACAATGTAGGCGACTTTGCTTTTGCACTCCAGTAGTAATCCGATCATTTCAAAGCAAATGTCCCTGTTCTGGATGTAGGTCTAAACAATACACTACATATAGAAAGGTTCTAAATGACTAGTTTTCTTCGATACCTCGTTAGTAGTGGACAGCAGCGATCCAGCCAAAGAAACAAACCACTGAGTTCTTGACGTCAATATCCTCTGCTGCCTTTCGCTCAGCTCAGAAGCAATATTCGCCAAATCTAAGTCTAGCAAAGCATTCCACAAAGTTCTACCATGCATGCATATTTTAACAACAATCATGTTTGCCAGTCGTTCTTCAACGAGAAGGTTTTTGAACCCCCTCTCACCTCGCATTCAAGATCAAGGGAGGATAATGATGCTGGCCGATGTCTGACTCTTGCAAATCTCAGCATACGGGAATTGTTCTGGATGTGGTGTCTAAATACATATATCACCTACATATAGAAAACTTCTAAGATGACCATTTTCTCACAGCTGCTAAGAGCTGGACGTGCAAACGCCAGGAATCCCTGCACTTCCAAACAGTGTCGAGTCGTCTAGTAGCATCGTTCCATGTTCCTCTGCAGCTGTCCGTTCAAGTTCCGCTGCAAGTATGATTTGGTTGTACACAGCTCGATTCGCCTGGTGCAACGCTCGTATCCTGCGATTCACTAACGAATCGCTGGATATGCGAAGTATGACATCGGCCGTATTGCTGCCGCCTACATAAATTCCATTTTTTAGGTGGAGGAAATCCGCGAGGTGCGTTAACCATTCCGCTTTCGATTTTACAGTCATCCCGGAGAATCTGTCGTTTGCGAAAAATTGCTTATTTTGAGTTGTCGAGTGTGAGTTATGTTAGATGAAAGTGTTGACTCACATCCCCTACCGCATCGAGTCGGTCCAGATCCGTTGCTACTTTCAAAAAGTTTTTACGACCCCCCTTCCTCCCTCATAAATGTTTCATACGACCCCCTCTTTCAAAACAATTTCTTACCCCAAAAATTACCGTCGAGCGGGAGGTATATACTTACCGTGAAACCGCAAAAATTCCCTTACATTTTCCCTACAATTACCAGTGTATTTTCACACGACTATTCATCTACTTCCTTTTCTAGGGGGGGGGGCCGCTCCCCACTCATCACATGCCACTTCTTACAACCGAAGCAAGTACGACCCCCCCTCTACAAACTCACCAAAATACGACCCCCGTTGCTACTTGTAGCAACATAGGGTTGACCCTGCCTCCGGACCTCCTAACATAAAATGCAGAACGATATGACAAACCTTCATAATCACATTTTGGAAACAGGCTAATTTTTTCATCGCCTGGAGACCAGTAGTTCCTCCGAATTTCTTCAGCGTCCAATGGCTAACCGTTTTTACTGGCGCATACACTTCCCTGATAACCTCCCAAATTGTTGCACTCACTGAAGACTCGTGGACCGCGCCTAGCCTATTGCGCACAATCGCATGGGTGTGCAGTTTTCCTTTATCGGAAGTGCATACCAAAAGGGCCAGTAGTTCCAACTTATTTAGAATGAGCATATCGGAGTTGATCTTTACCGTATCGATAACTATGCGTTGTGTCGAGGATCAAAAATTTTTGTCACGCAGTTATACAACCAAACTCACCGGTAAGTAATTCTCGCAAATTCTTCAACACATGTTCCGCAAATGGAAGCCAGAAGCTGGGTGAGGCCTGTGATTCTTTGGTTTATTCTTATCATAACTGGCTTATTCTTGATTGGTTCTTATTCTTTTTCATTTTGTCTCCGAGTTTTGTTTTTTTTTTTCCGGAATTGATGATAATTTCTGTTTATTTCTGTTTGGTCTACAATAATCAATAGATCATAAGATAACATTCGCATCATTCAGTGGGAAAATGTCGCTCGAAATTCGAAGATTGTGACGCTTTTCCAAGTGGGGGCTCCATATTAAGCGCTAGAGAAGCGATCTTCTTCGCGAATTGAAACCTCCTTCAGGTGATTAAAGTGGAACACCAATATTTCTCTCGCGAATTTCTGGGGCTTAGCAGTTTTTAGGGGCTCGTATTTATTGTTTCAAGTTTATTAAGTTTATTCACTCACATAGGTCATCTGTGCGATCAACGAGGAGATCATATCCGTGGCGAGCTGAGTCTCGAACTGATTTGTCTTGACAAAATCCAAAACCTTTTTCGATAGCTTCTGAAAGTGGGAAAGCAAGAATCTTTTCAATATTTCAAGTCGAATTAACAATTGTTCAGACCGTTTATAACACGGCGATCAAGGGCTGAATTTACGATGAAAACGCAGCTCATTAGCAGATCACAGGTAGGTTCAATATGTCTGGATGATGAAAAAACAATTGCAGACCGCTGAGGACGCTAAAAAGGACATCCCTTCTTTGCTTGTTGAAATCCACATTGATGCAGGTCTCATTGTTGCTGCCCTTTTCAACCTGACGCTCTCTCTGCTGACGGTCTGAGCTCCGATGGAGGCAGTACCCCACGCCGGATAGCGCCACGAGGAGGATCCATGCCAAATCGCCGAGACATTTCCTTCAAGCGAATTGCTGTCGGTGCGCATCGTTACGGATCCGCCTGTCTCTCCGCTAGGTAAGTTTCTCCTTCTTCCACCACCGACATTGTGGAATCCTCCTTTAAAGGCAGTGTTTACGATAGATTCATGAAGGGTTCATAGGAGACTGGTGGTGCTCAATGGTATGCCTGTTGCAAAAAAAGCGGAGAAATCTCGTATAACAACGCAATACTGACCGCCTGACCGCTTTCTTGGCCGCTGGTTTACACTCGTGAACATGTAACAGCTCAGAAAGCGGAAGTATGAAGTTCACCACAACGCGTTTAGTGACGGCATGGCAATCCATGGTTTCAGGTCGACGCCTGCCTTCCAGCTTGTCCGCTGAATTGGCAACGCAGCTCTTTCCAGATTACCAAAAACTTACTGAAAGCGGGATCGCTTTTCGCCGTGAGGGCTTCCGAATCCTGTGTCAGTCAACACAGCGCACCGTCGTTTCCTGAAAAGCGCTAAACACCGTCGCTTTCGTTGGGAGCCAAGCAACTGCTTCATGTGGTGCATATGCTTCCCTGATGCGTTTCTTCCTTATCGTAATAGCTGCCTCTAACCAGAGCTACAACGGCCGCAAACACCTTAAGGCCGGTCTTCAATCACTCCTTGTATCAAAGACACCATTTTTTGAGGGAAATGATTTCCGTTCTCTTGTAAATAGATAGAGGTGAAAAGAATCTTAGCGTCTGCATAGACGATGTCATCTATCGTAGAACCTCGTCGAGCGTGGAAATTAGCGAGCGCAGAAAGAATCTCTCCTCTCGTTTAGGAAGCTCCCTTTGGTTTTTCTTCATCACTGTACTACTTTTCACTTCTACTTTCATATCTAATCGCAAAATTCTATCGTAATATCTGCCTTAAAGGACGAATTCACGATTAGAATGAAGGTCGAAGAAGGAGTAATTCACCTAGTTGAGGGACCCGCGGACCTCCTGAGGGTGCGGAACTGAAGCGCAATTGGCACCGAAAGAGTTGACCTCGGCGACCTATTATGGCTCAATCTTGGCGCGGTGGGCCAGTGCACGCCCACCGATCATCTGATCACTCGCCGCAGGTCTATACGTGGCGAGTGATTAGATAGGTGAGAGAGCGTAGTGTTGAAGAGGGCACAGCGATGAGAGTCGCATCAATGCTCAAATCAACGGGCAAGGAAGGGGTCCCATTTCTCGGGTTCTGGGCCGTTTCTCATGGTTTTTCCTTCTTTCGTGTACCACTCACCATCCCTAGGTTAATTTGAAATGGGTTGCCTTTCCAGCGTGAATTCGTCCTTTAATGTACTCAGACACTCCAACAGTCTATTTATCGCAGGTTGACTTCCACAAATTCATCACGTTTTCCGTTTACCACGTATGGTTCGCAGTTCCTCTTTTCCGAATGCGAGGTCAGTATCTTGTGGAAACTGCAGGCTAATGTTTTAGTTCAGTAGTCAGGACGAGGGTCACTCGTCCCTTCGCACTATCGAACGAGGGGCTCTCATTTTGGGGTTGGGCAAGATTATCACAGTGAGAATGAAGGTTGACGGAGGTCGTTAATGCGATTGCGTTTGGACAAAGTTCTTTTTGACGGAAATTGATTGAATTATCAC